CTCCACCCACAACTGTTCTTATTCTTCCCCAGAGTGAGTACCAATGACTATATTCCCTTCTAGAGCCACACCAAAAGATTAAACAATGGCAACTTATACTATTAGAAAGAAAAACAATCTCTGCTCATATAATCTGACAGTTTGTAGACATCAGTTGAGCTATGCACCCCCATTTTGGAGCAGGAATGAAAGGCCAAACAAACAGCCTTCTGTGAGGATATCTTTCAGAAACACTTTAGTAATATGTCAATGGCAAATAGGCCTAAACACAGATGTTTGAGTCTGAGATCTCAATTCTGTTTGGATATTGTCACATTAATTTTCTAAAAATAGGTTATTTAATTTCATTATTATCCCATAAACATGTATGTCTGAAGAATATACATATTGATACATACATTTTCTAGGTGTTTGACACATGTCAAACTAACATTGGCAACATATGTTTTACCTCTAAAATCCAAAATGAGTTCAGTGTCAACTTTTATCATTTGATTTTATGTAATTTAGCTGAGATGGGCCTGAATCTTAGCTTTAGACTATTTTGGATTTGACTTTAGATATATAAATTCATTCATTACTAAATTGAGTATATTTTCTAAAAAACAAATATTCATAGTTATTCTAGTTTCAGAATATTACTAATACTTTCTATGATTTTAAATATATTTTCTTTTTTTCCCTCTAATATAAAGTCCAAAATGGGGACTATGTTAAAATTATCCAGTTTATATACCAGATAGGTAAGCATACCAAGTTTTCCTAAGTACATACATTTATTTGCCAGGCATAGATCAGAAAACTAGAACATTTCATCTGCACTAGTTTCTCCATTTGACTTATACTCTTGTTTGTTATTGTATCAAAGGTGTATGTTTAAAAATATCAATCGGTATTTGAAGCTCAAGTAAAAATTAGCATCGTTTATCACTCTGCAGACTTTAAAAAATACACACATGAAACAAAAAGTAACAACAAAACAAAAACACCACACAAAACTGATTTGCATGCCATGTAAACCTGTTTTTAAGAACGCAGTGCTCAGGAAACAAAGAACCGGTTAGTAGAAGAATAACTTACAAAAGAACTATTTTCAAATTTTCTGATACTATCTATTTCCAAACTAACACTTGATGATTGTATAATTGCTGATATGAGTTTTTGTTAATACACATTTTATATGATTATATGTGCGGTAGGTGATATTTTTTGCAAAACATTTATATTTTTCAAGCATAACCAAATATATTCATATTATTTGAAAGATTAATATGATGCTCTTTATGTCCTAAGCCATGAATTTGAAAGAATACAGTTAATATCATACATGGTTGTATATAGGTATGTATATCAATTAGGGCTTAGCACTGAAAAAAAATCATAAAAACAACAGTACACAGAAGACATTTCTATCTAAGAGTAATGGGCTAGGAAAAGTCAACTGAGAATAAATGTACACAGAGACACAATTTTCATATAAATGTAGGGGGAAGATTGATTAGGATTTAATTTTTTAATGTAAATAGAAATAATGCAAATAGGTTTATTTTTGATTTTTTAAAATTAGGTTTTAATTATAACTCATGCAACAAGTTAAGGATGAAAAAAACATTGTTACACATAAAATTCTTGAACAACTCTGTAGTAGTACAGCACATCCCCAAATCCTTGAACATACATTTGACTTTAGCAGGGAAGAGAGGGTCAAATTTGTAACATCATTTGAGAAGACTACATTTTTCCCAAGAGCATCTATTAAGATTCTGGATAATGATGATGTTGATTATGATGACAAAGAGGATAAAGTTAATAGTTAGAATTTCCATGGAACTTACTGCATGCCAGTATTGCTTTAAAGGCTCTACACATATTATTCTATTTTGTTGTGAGAATTTAATAAATTATAAATCAAATATTGTTATTAATATTCTGTTTTGAAGCACCTAGTGTCTACAAGTTCACTCTTCTAAAATACTGCCATAAGTGTTTAATCAATTTCCACAGTTTCTCTCAGGCTAGTTTTCACGTAGCAGAGGAAACTCCTAAAAATACACATTCACTTATATATGATATGAACTGAGATCACACTGATGAAAAGCCTAAAGAGGGCTTCCCATTTGACTTAGAAAAAACAATCCAATATTGTTGATGTGGCCAGCAAAACCTTTTATGGCCTTACTTCACCATCTTACTGTCTTTGGTATAGCTCAGATATGCCACACTGTGCTCTCCTTGAAAACCTGACCAGCTCCTCCCTCTGCCTCGGGCTACCCTTTCCCGAGATATGAATGGCAGCACACTCCTTCACTTCTCACAAGTCTCTTCTCAGATGCTACCAACTCCCAAAAACCATCCGCAACCAAACATAAAAAAATCACTCCCCATAGCCACCCAACCAACTTTATTTTTCTTCACACTATTTGATACTGTCAAAAAGTCTGATTTTTTAATTTGATTTTTGTTTTAATGTCTTCCCCCTTCTCTCCATGTGCCCCCCACCACCGCCTGTAGACTATAAGAACCATATTTGCTTGGGATTTTTTGTGTTCACTACTGTAACCTGAACTCCCACAAGAGTACCTAGTATACAGTAGGCATTTAATCAATGTTGATAGATCAAATTGAATCATTCTTGTCAATTGTCTTCTTACATTTCAGCTGAACTAAATCTGCCTGATCCACACTGTTTGCTTGGAATTTAGGCTCAGTGCTAACCGCACACACACACACACACACACACACACACACAGCACACACATGTAACAGACATGTTTACTAAGACTTTTAAAGACTTGTTAATTTAAAAAGCTTCTCAAGGGCATGATCTACCTTTGCTATATTACTGTTAGGATTTAAATTTTGTAAAAGAAATATACTTTGTGCATGCAAAATTTAAGAGGGAAAAAGTCAGATACACCTAACAGTATGGTAGGTATAGTATATCAGTTTACTGTATTGTGTCTATTACATATTCATATTTCATATCAATAAGAGTGTAATATGTTAAATATGTAATAGATGAGTATACAATATATAATACATATATATAGCTTTCTGATGACCTGTGCCATTCTAAACAAAATAATGTTTACATCAGGGAATATCATTTACTCTTATATATGACTGTATCACGTTTATTTTCCTTGAATTGTATTCACTTGGATTAATCCATGGCTTAACTTATTTTTGCTCTCTTCATTATATCCAGTCTTAATCTAAAGAAAATCCTGCATTCACATTTATAGGATTGGTAGAAGCTTAGCAAATCTACTCCCTACCTCATTCCTTTCTACTGACATACAGTTTCATAATATAATTTTTTTCACCAAATATGGTGACTGAAAAGTACAAACATTACATCATAGTGAAGCAGCATATATTCTGACATGGGGATCAGATGTTTTTGGAGATTGATAGCTCTAGATAACAAATAGATTAGTAAAAGAACACAGTCTACCAAATTGCAATTAACTTTGTAAATCTTAGTTTCCTGCTTTCTCATAGACATCAGAGTCATTTTCATGTAATTATCAGAGCTGAAGTTAAAATATCACTGAGATTTGCAGTCCATGATAATATTGGTACTTTTTACTATGGCTATGATAGAAGAAAGACAATGAATATACATTTTTATTTCTTTAATAATAGTGAGCCTTAATATGGAATATTCTGTACATTAATTTAAAGGGATATCTATAAAAAACAAGATGAAGAGCAATGTGTTTGATAGTTTTTCTATTAAAACAAACCACATAAACAAAACCACATCTCTCTAACAAAAGAGATGTACAAATGTGCATCTGTGCTTTCTGAATTTAGAGAAGCTCATGAGTGAGGAAGAGAAACGCACACCACATTCTGACATTGGCTGCCTCAGGATGAGAGGAGGAAATGATTAGTAACTTTATCTTTATATGTGTCTGTTTTGAGTTTTAGACTCTATTGCCTTCATAATCATATAAATATATAATTATGTTTACATAATTATATGTACTTACATAATTTACTTACATATACTTATATAATTTACTTAAATAAATGTTATATGTCTTAATATACATATACATGTATAAAATATATAATGGTATATTATAATCCTGTACAAACTGTGTAATATGCACATATTAACATACACACATACATATATGTATATTCAAATTCACCAGTTGTTTTCAATTTAACATTGTTTTTCTATGTTTTATTCTGGAGGAAATTATTAAGTTTACTACTGTGTCTACTGTCTTTGGGTAAGAAATATTATATCAAAAAGTATATTTTACTTTTAGGAAAGGTTGTAAATCTGTTCCACTAAAATACTGATTAGTCATTTAGCCAAAACCAATATTTTAAATATTCTAATAAGTAATGAGAAATAGTACAGTATTTCCACCAATCCATTGCATATGCTATGTACACATTTCAGAAGAAAATGTATGACTGATTTAAAATTTTCATAAACATATTAGGATGTATGGCTTTGAGATAGCAATGGTACTACACATAACATCTAATGTAAGTGTATATTGCTTGCAGAGATAATATGACTTCAATAAAAAAGGTGTATTGTTATACCTATTTAATTTATTTAAATAACTAGATCTTCTGACTGACAAATTATTTTTGGCACAGTAGAAAGAAACAGAATATATTGGTGTTACTATAATAACAATGAATTTATAAGCATTTACATACAAAAATCTCTTTAAGGGAAGAAGAACACTGAATTAGAAGAGAAATACTTTTGTTGGCTTTTCTCAAAATAGGGCTGTACTGAAGCTTGCCAAATCCAAAAATTATTAACTGGCAGAGTCAAGTTAAAAACATTTCAGCTTCACATAAAAATATACTTTGAGTTCTAGGGGTGCTACTCATTCTCTGCCCTATAGGAGCATACAAAACTAGAACAGTGAAAAAAAATCACCAAATATGGTATGGCATGTTACAGTGCAATATTAAAATAATATGTCTATCAAGTAATTAAGACTTACTGTTATTTTGGAGCTATCTCATTTCAGTGCCATTTTAATAATCAATAACCTGAAATCAAAAGTAATAAATCAATATATAGTCATCAAAAATTTCCATAAACTAACATACATCTAAATCATTCATTTCACATTTATTCTTAAAACAGTTAAAACCAAAACATACTTATTAAAGTGGGATATCTAAAATGCTTAAACATTTTACTTTCAAATCTGTCAGTTGAAATCATCCTCCCTATAATAAAAAGTCTTCTTTTTAGATTCCCTAACAACTACTACACAGTAATATCAATAATGTTAGTAAAGTACTTCACTAGGAATAATCACTCTAATTCATTGTAGGTCTCTTTTCTCAGTTTGAAAACATTTAACTTCCAAACACCAAAACTATCGAGAGTCAAAATTAATAAAAGTATTAAAAGAGGTCAGTCACAGTTAGGTTTCCATGAAGTCAAATTTTACTCTTGCTATTTTTATTGCTGTTGTTTACAAAATACCAAAAATATTTTAGAGACAAAAGTGAACAGAATACCACCATTCAATTTGTTTAATAGCTATAAATTTACAAATTTTTTTGAGTCACAGTGACTATTAGTAAAATGCTACTTTTAAAAAAGTTTTATTTTAAATGTTGTCATTAAATATATCATAAAATGCCGAATGTATAAAATTATAATACTGAAGACACTATTTTAAGTTTTTAAGAAATGTCTGAAAATAAGTAATTTCATATGCTCTATTTACAATTCATTCCTTACAAACCTTATTAGCTGATATGAGCTACCCGGAAATTCTTTATTCACAACAGTAACTAACAGAACTTAAAATTAGGTAAAGATTTGGAAAACCGTTTACTTATGAGGTTTTACAAGTCATATTCCAACTCTGTGAGAAGCTACAAATATTAACAAAATGATTGATGGGTTAGTCCAGTTTTTCAACAGTAGAATATTAATGTAGGCTGCAGAATGTTTTTCTTCATTGACCTAGTTCATTCATAGTTGGCAAAATATTTGGAAACTAAAACAGTACGGAAGTCTAGTCTCCTCTATAGACCATGAATATGCAGAAAGAAAAGTAAAAATGAAACTTATAACCCAATGTCTCAAGATTTTAACTTTATCATCTGTTTTTTATTAAAAAATTCTACACCATATATAAGCAGCTCAATTATGCATACATATACAAACATACATCCATATACATATATGTATGTTTGTGGTTTAACATTTGTTTAAATAACGAATGGTTATTGATCCATGTAATATTGAAGTAAACTAGTTAAATATTGATAACAGAATCTAGAGTAAACTGTTAAAAATCAAGCACCTCATTACCTGATCAAGCATCTACATTTATTGAATAAAATAATGTCAAGATTCTGGGCCATTTTATGGTTTTTGTAGTCCTAGAACATAGGGAAAAATAAACAAAAATCCATATTTAATTCTGTGAGGACCTATACTTTAAAATGTTCCAGTAGAGAGATTTCATAATACGTTGTTTTTTCTTTAATGTACACACCAGAAGAAGTTATTTAAGATTTAAAGAAATTTAATAAGAGATCCACTCTCTACATTGGTAGGTATTTGCCATTTCCTAATCAGTAGTTTATATTCTAGGGGCACCTGTCACAAATGCTTCAAGTCTCCAAATATTTCCCCATGAAACTACATGTGGGAGCTTGGTAATATAAAAGACAGTTACAAATAAGTTTTCACTGATAAGACAAGTAATGATCAAGATATATGATTGGCAAGAAATAGTGGGTAATCTCCCTATTGTGGGAACAAAGTAAAATAATCACAGGAAAAGGTTAAGAGTCTAATATCTTTGAAGTGGCACCTTCAATCTAAAATGTATTCAAATTGGTACCCACTCCTGGACATATACGGAGGGTCCTTCACCTGTTACTACTAGAAGACTCATTGCTCCTGCTACTGGAAGACAGTCGCATTTGCTCTGCAGTTAACTTTTTCTACAAAGTGCTGGAAGGCATGCCTAAAAAGACCAGGAACAGAGACTCCCTCCAGATTATTTAGAACAAGCTGTTTGGTTTTGTACCTGATTGTTCATAAAAGTTTGTACCTTTGCAGAAATTGATCAGTAACATTTGTTTCTTGGTTTTCGTTTTCGAAACAACCTAATTAGTAGCAAAGTTGTAAGAGAAGAGACATTTACCCCCTACCTATCTCTCATTTGTCAAAGGTCAAAATATTGACAAAAAATCCCTAATTTGTTGAAGCAATGAATTACCTTAGATCAATTCCCACTCTCAGCATGTTAAATAGGAAATAACTCAGGTTAGAGTAGTCTATTTTTGCTAGAGAAAGTCACGATCAGTCAGGATGTTTTAGATAATCCTAAGTACCAACCAGTTTAAAATCACAAAGGAGTATTTCTCCCTCACATTAAACATTCATTACATGTTAGCAGGAAGCTTTGCTCACCATAGCATCTTAGCTAAGCAGGATAACAGGGCAGCTTTCACCTCAAATGTGGAGAAAGATGCAAATAAGATGAAGGAACACTAGAAATTAAATGCTCTGGCCCCAGGCACACTTGGCCGCAATTACTTTTCTAATCCCATCTAAATCACGAAAGCTGGGAAATGCAACACAATTCTGTCACCCAAAACATGAGAAAATCAAAGTATTTGCTATTTATCATAGCAATTTAATACATCAGTTGAAAACTCAGGTTTCCTGTTTTGAACAGTATATCTTAAGTTGTGGTATGCCCTAAAATTGTACTTTTCTTCAAAAAAAAAAAAAAAAAAAGATGATTAAATTTGGTTTTGCTATTTAACTAAGATTGAAATCTGTATGGCTGAAATTAAATCTCTTCTAATCTGAACAACCTAGAATATGTGTAGGCAGGTTTAAATATATAAATGATATAAACAATCATTAAATTTTTAAGCCATGGAGATCCTTATAAAACGATAGAAAAGATATTAAACTTTGTATCTAAATATTACAACAGGAGTGGCCACATTGTTAAATGCATACTAGGACAAGGAGTGTTTGTTAAAATGGAGATTTCCAGGTCCCTGGACTAATATTAAGATTTAATAGGTCTAGCACTTGAATGCAGAAATTTACATTTTACAATGCACCCACTTAATTCTGATGTAGGCAATACTGAGACCACATTTTAAGACGTGATGCTGTAGCTGATTGGTTCCAAGAACCAAGAAGCATAAACATGAAACTGAATTGGAAAAAAAGTAAGGGTTCAATCGATCCATGGCAACTTTTATTTGGTTGCTGAAATTGTATTAAAATTATAAAATTCATTAAGAAAACACCTGACTCATCAGTCTCAAAAAGATGCGGTAGCAATGCAGTGGTATTGCCTCTCTGTTCTGATATGCAAATAGCCCCCATTTAAATTAGGGAGAAAGGAATCAAGCAAATAGCTCCCATTTAAATTAGGGAGAACAGAATCATACTATTTTCTTTGCAGATCCTTTCCAAATTGATATCTCCAATACAGACTCCTTTCCTGAATGCTAAGCTCATATATCCAACTTTCTACTCAGTATCTCCACTTGGCTATACCCTAATAGGTCAATCTTCATATGTCCAAAATCAGATTTTTAATACTCATTTCCAAAACTGCTCATTTTTTGAAGCCATCTCCATCTTAATCCACTATCACTATTCTTACAGATACTAAGAAGAAAGCCTGGAAGCCAGGCTTGATTCATTTTTCTCTACAGGTTTGTTGAGAAATGTTTCCTCAGCCATTTCTTAGTCATTCATTAAAGGCTGTCAGTGCTTTCTTTGAAGATTCCTTGCAGAATCACCACTTCCTAGCACCTCCTTTGTTACCATCCTAGTCTAAGACACTGTCTTTACACAAACAGTTGTTAAACTTCCAAAGGTCTCTTCAGAGAGGTGCTGGTTTATCAGTAACTTAATTTATAAATAATAAGTATATATAACGCTGTAAACAACAATAAAAGAAGGAACAGGAGGAGGAGAGAGGAGGAGGAAGGAATAAATGCAGGAAAGAAGAAAGGAGAAAGGGACGAAAGAAGAAATGAGAAAGGAGAAAGAAGAAAGGCGAAAGGGAGGGAGAATAAATCCTCTATAGTATTTGCAGATTTCCACATGCAAACACTTTCACCATGGTTAATTTCAAGTGACATGAGGGCATGGTTCAGGAAGAGATGCACACAACGGCTTCTGCTGAGTTGCTATGAGCCCATTCCAACACAATGTGGGTTTCCCTTCTTTGACCCTAGCAACCTATAATCCTCATCTCCACATGGCAGCCAAAGTGTCTTGCGTTGGATGATACCACTCTTCTGCCCAAAGCCTCCCAAGAGGCTCCCCAGGTCACGCAGAGTAAGATCCCAGATCCTAACAGGAGCTCCAAAGCTTATTTGATGGTGTCCAATACCTGTCTTCTAATCCTCTGGTCTCACTGCCTGTTACTGTCCCTGGCTCACTGTACTCTAGCCACCTTGGCCTTCTACCTTGTCTTTCAACATACCAAGCATGCTGCTACCTTAAAGCTTTTGCACTCCCAGTTCCTTCTGCCTGGACCACTTTCTCTCTAGGCATGGGCTTGGCACCCTTTATTACTTCCTCTTGGTCTTTGAGTAAATACCACCTAAACAGGGAACCATGCCCTGAACACCTGACAAAAAAATGGAATAATAACTTTTAGTCTCTAATCCTTCAGCTTGCTTTATTTTTCTTTCTAGCACTTTTTACTTACTGACATTTATACACATATGTAAATAGTTTAGTATCAATATTTATGTGTCTGTCTCTTTAAGGGCACAGCCACTCACATTTTCCCAGATCCTGTGACAGTGTCAGCCACATAATGAACTTGTATACTGCATGTATAATGCCACATAACTTGTAAATGCCACATAATTTGCTTGTATACTGCACGTCTCTTTAGCCAACTTTTATTGACTAAAGAGATGTGCAGTACACAAGCAAATAAATGAAGGCAATTCCATAAAGAAAATAAAAAGATGGTGAGAGAGTCCATGAGGGATACAGTGGCTGTGGCCAGTGGTGGTGGACA